TATTCAAGTTAATAGGCTATATTTCATTGTAATGAACAATTACAAACTATTTAATACCGGTCATTTTAATAGGACAACGAAAATTTTGTGCATAGGGCACCTTAACAGACACTATTTTTATTAGGCTGCCGTGACTTGCACGGCGTTTTAAATCTGTCTTTTAATACCGTAATGCGACAAGAATGTGTTACCGTTAATTAACTAAAATAGATTTTTATTCCTAATCACAACTTAATGAGCAGATTTCAGGAAAATGAAATTCATAAAATTATTATTGCTAATATAAGCATAATTACTGTAAAGATCAATATTACGTTACTTTCAGGTACAACTTAAATAAATACACGTTAATTTTTCTAATAAATTAATTTACTCCAATAGGTTTAACTTTTCTGATTTTAGCTGGAACCATTATTTTATATCATTGTGTTTCATTAGTATTATACAGTATAGTAATATATACAAACTATTATTAACTAACCCAAAAAAATTGTTTCCTAATAATCACAGGATCTATCTTAGCAGCTGACATCATACCGATTTCTGCCGTGCACAAACGCGCAGTCTTCCAGTGGTTACTTACTGAATAGACTTATAGCAATGCTACGTTTAACATTATATAATTTTTTGTTCTTTATTTTGATTCCTTGGCACTGTTGGAAAACTTCGAAAATTAGTCCTTTTTAAGTTTACACAATTACAATATATTTCACAATCAATCAACAACTTCATCATTCAAAATTTTTGCATCCTTTAGCATTGCCTAACTTAATTCAGAATTAGACAATATATTCTTTACATATAAGTACCAACTGTTAATTATTAGATTGATGCAATCTCTTTTGGTACATCTCTAGTGAAAGACAGAGAAAATGTTACACATATACATAAGAGTACATCTCAGATTATTTAATCTTCATTTCTTTTCTTTTTTTTTTAAAGCATTCTAAAATATATCTTAATATTTATTAAATATTAAAGTAAAAAATTTCTGACTAAAGCCTAATAACTTCGAAAAATCGATTAAGATATCCCAGTTTCCAACTTTCTGCTAATAATCAGCAGTTCTTTTCTCACTTAATCACACAATCATAGTAGGATCAGGTTGCTTGTATGCTAGTACCATCTTGATGCAAACTTTCTCTCTTGACAAAATCTTATTTTTTTGTTTTACAGATCTCCATCTCCAGAACCCATATACAGTAGTGATGGTAAACGGTTGAATACAAGAGAATATCGTACTAGACGTAAATTGGAAGAAGAACGTCACAATCTTATTCAGAAGATTCTCAAAATCAATCCAGAGTTTAAACCTCCACCAGATTACAAGTAATTAAAAATATCGTTTCGTATATATCCAAAATATTAATACACTTATTATATATTATAATTGTAATATTTTTTAGACCTCCAATAATACGAGTTCACGATAAAGTGATGATACCTCAAGAAGAACATCCCGATATTAATTTCGTTGGTCTTCTGATTGGCCCACGTGGAAATACATTGAAATGTAAATTTAACTAATTTAAAATATTGATTAATTATATAAGTACTATACAATTGGTAGTATCGTATTTTTTTTTTAAATATTACAGCGATGGAGAAAGAAACTGGAGCGAAGATCATAATCCGTGGTAAAGGTTCTGTGAAAGAAGGAAAAGTTGGAAGGAAAGATGGTCAACCTTTACCTGGTGAAGATGAACCTTTGCATGCGTATATTACCGCTAATAATTTGGATGCTGTAAAGAAGGCTGTTGAAAGAGTATATAGTCTTTACTATTTAATATATTCGTAATATATAAATATTGTATTAAAATATTTTTTTTATAGATTCACGAAATTATTCGACAAGGTGTGGAAGTACCTGAAGGACAAAATGATTTGCGACGTAATCAGCTTAGAGAATTGGCTTTATTGAATGGAACATTGCGTGAAAATGATGGACCGCGTTGTACTAATTGCGGAGCATCCGATCACAAATCATGGCTGGTTAGCACACACTGTCTTTCAAATGTATTTAATATCTGCAAACAGATTTATTCGAGTCTCTGTTTAATTATTCTAGTGCCCAGACAAACCCAACGTGACAAATAACATAGTGTGCTCCAGCTGTGGAGGAGCAGGTCATATTGCGCGTGATTGTAGATCCAAGAGACCCGGACAAGGTGGGCCTGCTGCCGCAGGAATGGGAGGAATGGGACCAGGTGGAGATAAAGCTAAGATAGACGAAGAATACATGTCCCTTATGGCAGAATTGGGCGAAGGTCCACCACCTGATCGATCTAAAACGGGACAACCACGTCAGCCAAATCCAAATCCTAATTATCCTGGTCTCTTTGATAGGTAAATTCTATGTCATTGTGCAATTTATAAAAAGTAATATGTATGTATATATAACAGTATTGTTTTTAATTGTTTCTTTTCAGGCAACAAGCGCCTCGTGCTTTGATGGCGGCACCAGCACACCCACCGCCACAAATGATGCAAGGTGGCCCGATGATGCCTCCGCCAGGAATGGCTCCACCACCATGGAGTCAAGGAGAAGTAAATAACATGAACGGCATGAACATGCAATGGCAACCTCCCGTTAGTATGCCTCCTCCACCCGGTGTGATGCAACCTCCTCCACCACCTCCTGGTTCCACGTCCCAACCAAATATTCCACCCTTAATGCCTTGGATGGCTGGAAACAATCAGCCACCACCACCAGGGCAAATGCCACCGACACAAATTCCACCGCCTGGAATGGGTATTCCACCATGGCAACAAGGACAACAAGGACCAATGCGTCCACCACCACCTGGTACAGCTCCACCACCAGGATTTCCGGGATGGCAACCGCAACAAATGGGCGGATGGCCACCAGCAGCCCCTGTTCCTCCTCCTCCTCAGCAACAAACACCAGCTCCACCTGGCATTGATCTCAATACTTTACCTACGTTACTGGCACAACCACCTCCACCACCCCCACCAACTAGTTAGTGTAAAGAATCATCAAATCATCTAATCAAATTTTCTTCATTCGTACAATAGAGAGATATTATCGCTCCTGTCAGTAAATAGATTATAATATTGGACTGAAGACAGTTAACTATTAATTAGTTCGAATGATTCGTGGTTTTAATTAGACCTTTTGTGGTACATGGCTTTGTTCTCTGTAAGTGGAAAAGGATATATAGTTAAGAATTGTATTTCTTAATCCACCTTGTGGACCATACTACGTGGTGTTTATAAGAAATTGCTTTAGGTTCACAACGTGTTTTCGAAACTTCTAGTACACTCTCGGTAAATGGAAAAGTCTCTAGTTTTGGTTACCATTATTTTCGAACTTTATCGTGTCTACCTAAAGCTTTCTTACAAGTGTAAATGTAAGTAATATGCCAAACACATTTTTATAATGTTATTTCGAGCACGATAATTTTTACTTACATGTTTCTCTAAACAATAATATCGTACATTATAACTAGAGTATAATTTACTTGTATTTCGTGAGTAGTATGCATAATATTTTTGCGCGGCACTTCTTTATTAGGGATAATGTAGAATATAATTAAACATAACCTCAAATGGTTTATTTAAAATAACTTTATACAATATTGGATAGTAATGAAGGAATCGCTTTGCACGTATTCGGGATTTAGTACGCGTTCTCGGTTCATCAAATACTGACGTTCAATCGATAATGATTTCAGTTGGTAATGACAAACTATCTTCTGACTTTCGCACCAGCAGACCGTGAAATTATACAGGGTGCTCGCAACAATATTATGTAGACCGTAGTGCATTTGTTGCTCCGTACAAGTGTTATAATTGACTTTTGCTTTAGTATATTATCTACTGTCAGGATGAATATTATGCAATAAATGTTGGAAATGAAAACGCGTTTTACATAGGACTGTGCACGTAAGTTCCTACATCAGAGATCATTACTGTATTACAATTGCCGAGATTAATTTTATTTATTGTTTCAACATTAGGTGATACAGTGAAGCATTAAAATTATTGCTTGTACGAGTAACGATTGGTCAATTTTACATGTCATTTAGGTTATTTATATGTTAAGCATAATTTCTGCAAATAATGTTTTTTTCACGTCACGAATGAAACATATTTATCATTGATCACGGAAACGTAATATTGTAAACGTCCAAGCGCAATAATTTCGTATCACTGATTCACTAGTAAGAGTAAAATCATCGAAATTTTAAATTATAAAGACTCTGCTTTATATGAAATAACATTAGTATTGCGTGTTACGTTTAGGGCACAGAAAGATAGTTTGTGAAACTTTATGATAGCTTAATGTGTATGTTAACTACACAATAAAAGGATATCATATGAAACAATGTGTAGCTTTTTTTTTTAAACCTATTCCATTCAATTATTATTAACGTGGTAAATGTTTTCAAGTATTAATATTATGAATTCAAACCTCGTGCTATTGTACGGCAAAGTAAGAAGATTTAGGCGGGCTTTAAAGTCTGGAAGTAGGGAGCAGTAGAAGTTGTGATGTTTCGCTATTAATCAGCCAATAGTGATAGAATAAGGTTATCGTACTTACTCTGACGTCTTTGCTGATAGTCAGACAATTACAATAAGAGGAAGAATCGAGAGCATCGTATTATCGAGAGAAAAACGTCATTTCCTTTACAGAAACACACATTCTTTAAATAATATTCTCTTACAAAATAAATAAAGTAAGGCTGGAAATCGTTAGGAACGCGTAATAATCGAAAAAAATCGAAATATATCGAACTTTGAAAATTGCGCGAAAATAGCATCGAGAATGTTGCTCTGGTGGTGATTGCAGGAGACATCACTGCAAAGGCAGTTATAATCTGTGGCGCATACAAATGTGGAAGATTAAAGTTTCTATTAATATATTTGCAACAAACACTGAATTTAGTCTTTGTCATCAAGGAGTTTGATATTTATACGATTTTTAATTACATTCAGTTGCTAAATTTCATACATCGACAAATTTCTATTAAAGCGAAGACGATGTTTGAAAGACTCGAAATGTTGGAAGAAACTGCGAATGGTTGGGCTATGGGGTTGCATTCGTTTCTCGATGTTTCGCAGTTTACACCGATCGTCCCAAATTTATGGGACAAAAAGACATTCAACGTGCAATACACGAATGATACGAAAATTAAAAAGTCTGATGTACTCCTTGGATACTTAATTTTATTCTGGATTGTTTTATATGTTGCGTACGAGAAGTGCCTTAATGTAAGTTTCAGAAACTTATTTTACGTTTCATTGTTGTGCCTTTTGGTGTTAATTAATGAACTTGCCAATAATTTTTTTTTTTTTTATTATTTGCAAAGAGTGCAGATAAAGGATAACAAAGCCTATTGACAGTTCATCTGATCATTTTCATTTATTAACACAGTCGTTACTTCGACGAATGCGCATTCCATTGATGCAGAGAAGTAGAATAATCGAGGCTGTGTGGAATTGTGGGTTTTGCTTTGGCAGCATTTGTTATCTAAAGTCATCCACAATTAAAACATTGAGCTTCTTCTCTGAAGAAAGGAAAGTGACACACGAAGAATTAGGTGTCATTCTGCATAAAAGCTTTTACTTTCATCGGGCTGGAGTAGAAATCTTATGCCATGGAGCTTGGACAAAAGGCTGGGCCAATTTGCTATTTGCATCCTTCATCATGAATCCATATCAAGAAAAGTAAAGCAGCTTTTGTTTTAACATAAATCTGTTTTTGTGATCAATCCTGTATTTTTTAATACCTTGTTTGACTTCTTATAATCTTTTGCCTATTGTCTTTATTTAACAAATGATACATTTCTTGATAGGTGGTGTACAGTAGTCAGCACTTTTTTATTTTACAAGGCAATTGATACTATTGTGGTAAATATTTGTAGAATCTTACTATGTGCATCTCACCTTACTAAAAGAAAGCTACCCAAATTAATCTTTTGTCTTCACTGTATCAGCTGGTTAGTATACCATAAACTTGATATACCAATTTTTATATTTCTCTAATAAGTAATTTTTTTTACAGGGTATATCTATATACATTGTTTGTACCTAAATTGATGTTATGGCCAGAAAATATGAATTACACAAAAGCACAACTTGGTTTATGGCTATGGTTTATAGCAGAATGCCTTGATTCTGTAATATATTAAACACTTTATTTTTAAATCTACTTTGAAACTACAGTAGTCTTTTATGAATACAATAATTTTTAGGTGTACTTTAGACTTGTAGGATGTGCAAGAAATGTACATTGGCTAGAAATTTGTTTATTTCCCCCACCAACGCGGGAAGCGATTGAATTGGCTGGAATACAAAAGAGGCATAGAGATTCCTTGAAGAAATTAGTTAAAAGAACATCAAAAAAGGCTGAAATGTGGCAGGCATTGTTCTGTAAGTACATTCAAATGTAACATTTATGTCTTGACATTAATTACGATTTTTAAATAAAAATTAGGTGTTATGGCTCTTAAGAAGAAAATCAAAAGAATTCGACAAGCAAAACACAATGAATCTATATCAATGATTAATTCTACAGAAGAGGAATTATCTGAACCGGAGGTAACAGAAGAGTCAAGTGAAGAACGGGAGAATGAGGAATGTAATCAATATAGTAATATTGAAAATTAATAATATATTTATAACATCTGAGAACGAACTGCAAAGAAATGGAAGCTTGCAAAAAATCTTATAACTTTTTAATACAAAAATCAAGTTTATTTAAGAACTTTATAGATATACACCTGTTTATGTAGAAAGTTTCGTCATTTACACACTTACAAGTTAACGATGCATTTCGCGAGTAATGATGTCTTTCTCGTATTTTACACAAACCTTCCTTGAGGCTTGCATGAGTAGCTAAATGTTTCGATAAAAATGCAGTCGGGCTTACGAAGCGTGTACTTAAAAACAGTATTTTATACGTTTACCTTGTTAATTATTAATTTAAAGTGAAACATTTAACGATTATTACCAAATAATATCTTAATGTAAATTTCTTCGTTGAACGCTCATTCAGAAAATGACTGGCGATAATGTTGGATAAATGTAATATATACTAGGCGTACAATTTTGTTGTTTATTCTTTAGACATTAAGCTACAGGCACGATATTTAAATCTACACGATGAAGTTGCTATTTTACTTTAATAATAATGCTGTTTATGCTCGCGAAAATAATATCGTCTTCGCTTCTATAAAATCAATGATGCGAGGTACATTGTAATATAGTATGGAATGTTTTGTCTGTGGCAGTAAATGTAGAACATTAAAGACTGGGTCACAGAGCAACATAGCTTTGAGCAACGAAATTGTGGCTTCCACAAAACAGCTCAAAATGGCAATGCTATTACTAGATCAAGTTATATCCTAAATAACATTTGCCTTTTTTTATTTTTTATTTAAAACAAAGAAATGTACAGTTGTTATGCTCGTAGATGTAAATATAAGGATTGCAGGATGTAGATGTTGGTCCAGGAATATTAAAATGATCTCCTTCATTTGATATTCGTGTCGGTAATGTAAAAATTGCTTAGCTTTTTGCAGTCTAAATTTCTCTTGCTAATACAGTTTTTTTTTTATTCATGTATAAAAAATTAATTACAATGGCTGTTCTCTTTTATAACTGAAACAATTTTCAAATATACAACACAGACTGCAAGAAGATAAAAGTTGAGCACCTAAACTCAATGTCTCTGAAAAATTTGCAACAAATTTGGACTGTGTCAATAAAATATAGTACATGTATTTAGGCTGAATTGTTCCACGATGTTATACAGTTTAATGAAAAATATTATAAACGAATGTTGTTTGAATAAAATCGTATTCAATATGGCGACAGCATATACGCCTCGATAATATCGTATTTCTAAAAATTGTTAAAACATTTGGTTTAGAAACTTATACATAAAATACTGTATTATACAAATGCATAATA